TGTAATCCCACCTTCTCTTTTTTTTATTCCAAATAAACAGATTAGTTCTTGTATTATGTGTGCATTATAAGGGGATGGCTTTAGGGGAGAAACGTGGGTTCCCAAGATTCGAGGGGGACGTGTGTGGGGGGGATTAAAGAAGATAGCTCTTCAGAGGGGCTTCATGGTTAACAATGGCTGGATTTTATATTCTGTCATCGTGACAATAATTGAAATATACAGACAGTTTGAATATCAACAAGAAAACAGGCCTTCATGTTACCACCTTCAATCTTGGCCGTCTTTCCTGTGCCTAACTCAGTAAATACCTGCTTTGAGGTTGACACGTCATGTGTGCGAAGCATACTCGTGCTCTTTGATTTATATTTATTCTCCTCTTGGTAAGACTCATTGCTGAAAGGTTTACGTCCATATTGGTCCAATAGGGGTGTGCGGGGCAGGGGAGAAGAGTAGGACGCAGGTTTGCACGTTAAAACTGATGAACTAACAACTCTAGAACTAGTAAATATAAATGAAATATGCTTGATCCACTTCCAAATATACAAACATGATGGTTATGTAAGTTTTCTTAGCAGCTTTATAGGTTGCACTGGGGGATTTTTTTTTAAGTTAAAGCAGGGATTTAGGTTTTATTATGTATAGAATTTACTCTATAAAAAGTTAAGCCTGTAATCTTATCTTTTCATTCACTATCACCAGTCCTTCGAGTACATGCTCTGGTTCTGGGGCCCCACTGAAGTAAAAAAGGAATGGAAGTAAGGTTGCTATATTGGTTTCATCACAGTGTAAGTGTGTGGTCATTGCTTAGCTATGGGGTCCATGCTAGTTGAGCGGATTGTAGGATGAGGGGCTCTGATTGGATCACTCAGGTGCAAGACCTTATGTGAGAGAGAACTTCTTTGCACTGGTAAATGCTGCTTTTGAATGTTAGATCCATGTTCTTGGTTATGGGCTTCTTCAGAACACATCTAGTTGCTCGACAGCAAACACATTCTATGGTGTTGCTACTGCCTCAGGATGATCACACAGCTAGGATGCAATACAAAGAATTCCAGTGCCCTCAACTTGGTTCTGACAAAATTAACGTAAGAAAAACAACAGAACACTTCCGACCATCTAGTGGAAATCTTAAACTCTACCTGCAGAGAACACTCCAAAACTAGTTATTGTCACCAAAGCCTTTTATAGGTGCACTTATTCTTTAAAATAAACGTTTGTGTAACTCTTCCATCTACATATCTACAATGCTTTGCAAATGGCACCAACCTCAGCGGGGTTCTGAGGGTTAAATTACCGTTAACCCTGCATGGAGAAGCGAAGGCAGAGGAAGTGATAGCCATTACACCAAGGTACCACCTTTCTGTATACAAGTGAAGTGAGCTGATGCATGTTTCCCTTTCCTACCCACCCCATCCCAATCAAACTGCCTCTCCTATAGAGTGGGGAGAGGAACCCAAGTCATGTTCTAGATGGGAAACAATTTCAGCATTAAAAAAAAAAAACAAAAAAACTAACAACTGAGGAAAAATTACCTCTTAGGCCCTGTATCTGTAGCTGCATCCATGCAGCCAGAGGCAATTCATGGTCATGACCTCAGTTTGTTCCTACTTGAGACTAACCCATCTCCAGCGGCATCTAGGGGAAGCAGGCCTGGGGTGCAAGAAATGGTATCAAGACAGAATGTATAGTCTCAACACATTGAACTACATGCAAGTTTTATCCTAACAAGGCTTTCAGAGCGCAGGAGGATTCCTGGGAGCTTTTTGGTTTATATTTGATCTCTTGAACTACATTTGTCTCTCTCCCTCCACCCATTGATCTTCTTGTTTCCATAGCATCTTACTTCTGAAGGTACGTCTACCTATTTTACGGTTTTCACTGACACCCATCACTGCAGACTCACTGTTGGTATTCCTCTAGTGGGGATAAGTACCTTCCCCCTCCTCCAGGTTTTGTTTCACATTTACAAGAGAGGTGGGGGTCCACTGCTGACACAGTATCAAATGGACAAGATTCCTGCCTTTAGCCATTCAAACTTCATCCTACAGGGTGATTTGCTCCAGGATCTGTCATTTTATAAGAACATAAAAATGGCCATACCCAGTCAGACCAAAGGTCCATCTAGCCCAGTATCCTGTCTTCCGACAGTGGCCAATGCCAGGTGCCCTGGAGGGAATGAACAGAACAGGCAATCATCAAGCGATCTATCCCGTCGCCCATTCCCAGCTTTTGGCAAACAGAAATGAGGGACACCATCCCTGCCCATCCTGGCTAATAGCCCTCAATGGATCTAATTTTTTTTTAACCCTGTTATCTTGGCCTTCACAACATCCTCTGCAAAGAGTTCCACGGGTTGCCTAAGCGTTGTGTGAAGAAATACTTCCTTTTTTCAACAGGTGCATGTGGAAGTTTATGCACCAATTGGAATACTTCATTCTTTGCCACGCTCCACAATTACCAGTGTAACATGCACTGTGCAATACAACCTCTGAACACCCCTCTCTGCAAAGCGGCTTTGCAGCACAGTGGGAAGATCCAAGCTGTATGTGTTAGAGCTAGACAAGTATTGCAAAAGGAGTAAGAAGTTCTTTCCCTGCTGTGCTGCTACCTTCTCCTCTTTGCCTTGTTTTTCTTGTTGCTTAATGTTTGTTTGGCCAGAATAAGATGCTAATAAAAATCAAGCCGAGTTTTAAAATGCCGTATTCCAATTATAAAAGCCTAATTCCTTCTTCCATCCACTGAACCTTTTTGGTATTAACAGGCTTTACTATGCAAAGTGATGCAAGGGGCTGTTTCATTTACAGTAATTAAATGAATGTCAATTGTTTTAGTTGTTTCTGAGGGAGAGTTCTACAAGAGTATTAGCATGTTCTGCTAACCCTTGTGTGCTGCACTTCAGGCCTGCTGCAAACCCTTGGGGGCTGACCATTGACCTGAGACTCCATGCACAGACATGCCAAGTGCATCTCAATGAGACGAGCTCTTTTTCTCAGTTTCTATGGAACCAGCAGAGTGGAACTAATATAGCGTTTGCATGTAGATGAAAGAATGGAGAGGAAAAAGAGCTTTACAGCTAAATTAATTAAGCAGATGTACCTGTCTAATTAAAGATGCACTGTCCCTTTTGTACCCTACTTGCAGCGCAAACAGTATTTAAATGCATTCTTGATCCATTTCAACTATCAAAATATTTAGCAGGAAACTCAAACGGAGGCAATATTAGCAAGATGAGCTTCTATGTATTATTAATAGAAGGGCTCCCAATTACACATAGAGGCTACAGCATGTCTTTCTATCCATTGAGGGAAAAACAGCTGTCCAACTTGGTTACCGAACAGCACATTTGTAACTGGGGGACTGTTACAAATGCACTAGCCCAGCCTCGTGAGAGTGTATTGCAGTCAGGCCCCAGCCCTGTGTAAACCACATTCACCATTAGCCCCCTGGTGCTGTGGGTTGGAATTTCTTGGCACAAAATTCATTAGTGATTCACGCTGCTGGTGCCAGTAGCCTTATTCCCTTAGATTTCAGCACAGACACTTAAGCTGAGATTTTCTAAATTGCCTACGGCATTTGCACACCCGAGTCTCATTTTTTAATCTTTTAGGAAGCTTTGAAAAAAATCTCCGCTTTAAAGGCTGATTATCTGAACCCCAGATACCCAAACATTGCAGTGTTCCCTGGGCCCTCTGGCTAACGGAGAAGCTCACCTACGTGCAGGGAGAGGATTTTACAGGAGCTTTCCTGCGGATTGGTCTGTAACCTTGGACAAACATGATCATGACAGCCACAAGCATAGAAACTTATTTACTGTGATCTGGCTAGTACTTAATTTGTGCCAGGGCTTTCTAGGGTTGAGCGCTGGCACCTTTGGCTTGGGGCATCAGTTACGAAAGTAAAATAATTGCTTGAGCCCTGGCACCTCTTTCATTGCAAATTAAGCCCTGGATCTGGACCAGGCAGAAGTTGTTTGGAGACTAAGAGTTCTTGGGGGACTGCATGGTAGGGAACACACAGCTCCTGAAGGAGAAGGTAGGAGCCTCCCTTCAAGACCCTGGGGAAGCTCCCCTTTCATTTTTTAGTGCCTCCTCTGCACTGAGAACACATAGGGATGGTAGATAAAGGGTCTAACTCTCCTCCTATCTTTTCCCAATCCTCCCCCAATCCCTGCAGACTGCTGCTTCTCCAACCCTTTTCCAGGATCAGGAGGGAATCCGTGTTGCCTTAGGTATGGAGTGATCTAGTTAACAGTAGTGCAGTGTGGTTAGTGTTGGCTAAAGTCTAGCGTCTTCTACTGAAGACAAACTTACCTGGCATGGCTGCTCCTTGGCTCTAGTTTGCTCCAGAAAGAGAGTGGCTGTGAATCATTACCTGCTACTTCCTGATAAATGGCTCCTATTAGGCTCTGGCAGTTCAGCTGTGGCTAATTTAAGGCAGTCACAGGTGCTGCACTCAGGCATCAAGGAATGGGGCAGGATAAGTCTGCTGGACAGAAGCCTGGCTTTTCACTCCATGAGGAAGGAGGGCTCTAGTACATGTCTCAGTGGCTGGAGATAATCTGTTTAATTTAATTCTGAAACAGTAGAATCTGCAACCCATTTGGTGGGTGTGTTAATAGATGCTTTTGTTTTAGCTTCACTTGCTGCATCCCTTGGGAAGCCTGTGCCAGTCACTCTCTTAGGACCTATAACACTGCAGTAGTAGAGGCTATGGTGCAGACAACGTGCAGGTGTTCTTACTGCTATCTCATCTGCACTTACTCAGAGCAAGCTTAAGTGACATGGGGGTAACCGTGCTTGCATCCTGTCAACACTTCAGACTCTGCGATTGCTACCATGGATTCTAATTTTCAAAGCCCTAGTGCCCTGTTTTTTAAATCCTAGAATAGCATGATGATAAACATCATCATCCTATCTGTACGCCGTACAGTGAACTGCAGCTGCGCGGAGCACACGTGGTCTAGCTGCAGTTTGGAGGCAGTGAGTATGACTCCAGACAAGTACACTTCAAATAGGTTTAATATTCCAAACATGCATGCTACGTGTGTGTTAGATACATGAGACAAAGCTGCCGCTAACATATTTCCTGAAAACACTTTCACACTTTTCACTGAATCACCCACCTGGAAAAGGAGAGGCAGTTTAAACATCATTTCTAAAAAATGAACTTCCTTCCTCTGTAATCCTCTGGGATTATTAAAACAAAGAGCTCCAACCATCTAAACTTTTCACCATTTATGTTGTTTGTTTACTCTCTGCACTTCACTCACTTCAGACAATGCCAGTCCATTTGAGTGGGTTGCAAACACTGCAGGGGAAAGTTTAAATCCAAACAAGCTTTTCATTTTACAAGGTGTTGGGAAATCATCCCTTTCATTAATATTAGCTTTTGCAAAAAAATTTAGCCAAATAAATTTGTGTCTTAAGTCACCAACTAATTGACATTGCCTGCTAGCATTTTGGACTAGCTGGAACTGCTGTTTTTAATATGTCAGGACTTATGTGGAAGGGGCTTAACAATACAGCTTTCTATATACTCAAAGACAACATAAGGGTCTTGGTCAGCATTGATGTAGAAGGCATCTCCATAAAACTCCTCCAAGTCGCCAGCATGCCTGTAATAGGTCTCCAGGCAAATCCTGATATTTTCTTCAGTGTCTTTAGGGTTCTGCATGAGACGGGCTTGGACATCTGGTAATGGAGCTGGTTTGTACATGGCGTGATATCTAGAGATAAGACACAAACCCCACTTCAGTTCATAATGAAAATCTGGGACGTGACAGATGTTATCAAATACATAGTTTGTTTTTGCTTATCCAAGTAGCTGTCCCCTGCTGGGCAACTAAGTTGGCAGTTAGGCTCTGTCAAAAAGATGTTGGAAAAGTTCAGGACAAGTTGGTACTTCTGATTTATTTGATATAATTGCTGTCAAGGATCCTAGACACTTGATGATACGAGTTTTTCTTGAAGTGATCTAGTCCTAAATACTGATTTGGCACAATCAATCCCATAGGTGACTGAACAGGAGTCTCCCATTTGAGGGAGATGCTCCCATTTGAGGGCTCTGTTAGCAGGAATTTGAATTTTTATGAAGACTTCAAGGACATACCGAGCTTGGCCTGTTGCAGAGCCTAATAAGAACATAAGAATGGCCGTACTAGGTCAAAGGCTTTCTGGAAATCTAAGTACACTATGCCCACTGGATCCCCCTTGTCCACATGTTTGTTGACTCCTTCAGTGAACTCTAATAGATTAGTAAGACATGATTTCCCTTTACAGAAACCATGTTGACTTTTGCCCAACAATTTATGTTCTTCTATGAGTCTGACAATTTTATTCTTTACAATTGTTTCAACTAATTTCCCCAGTACTGACATTAGACTTACCGGTCTGTAATTGCCGGGATCACCTCTAGAGCCCTTTTTAAATATTGGCGTTACATTAGCTATCTTCCAGTCATTGGGTACAGAAGCCGATTTAAAGGACAGGTTACAAACCATAGTTAGTAGTTCCTCAATTTCACATTTGAATTCTTTCAGAACTCTAGGGTGAACGCCATCTGGTCCCGGTGACTTGTTACTGTTAAGTTTATCAATTAATTCTAAAACCTCCTCTCGTGACACTTCAATCTGTGAGAATTCCTCAGATTTGTCACCTACAAGAGCCGGCTCAGGTCTGGGATCTGATGCTCTCGTACTCTGCTGCTTGGTTCTCAAAGGGTTTCAAGTTTACAATGTGCTGGAAAGAGCTCTACAGAATGCTGCTGGCCCAAGGCCCATAACCACTGAGCTAAAGAAGACACAAGCCACCCTTCTCCTGACCCTCTCTCTCCTGGAGGATACCACGTAGAACATATTCAATCCTGTTAGGATTTTCTAGGATCACCATCAATCTGTCTTTGAAGAGCGTATGTTTGTATGGGAAGGGGAGAGGAAGACGGTCAGCCCATTTCTGAGCTGGATTATGGATATTTCTAACGATGCCTTCCAAAGGCACAGGATTTTGACTTTCTGGCATTAATAGCAAAAGCCCAATCATCTACCCCACAATTTTATTAAGTCAGAGGAACGTGTTTATAACCTGAGCCCCCGAGCAATGCTGTAGTAGTTTGGGTTGCCTGTATAGCTGGAACCAAAATGTGCTTTACCCATGTTGCCAAAGTTATGATGCAACCTTCTGAAGATCACAAAAACTGCTTTGTAAACAAGTCCTCAGAACTGATGCCACAGTCCTATTTCAGATGAATTAACTTCATCCCTCTCACTGTATCACCCTGAAAGCAAGTCTTATGTGCAAAAGACTTACATGTAGATAAGATGATTGAATAAATACTAAACCAAGAAGAAAAGCAGAGTCTAGTTAAGATACTGTCTTGGATCTAGTGTGTTCATCCTACGTTCCTACGAGTTAGAATACAATGGAGGGCTAGCCTACTCCCTTCCCTCCATTGGATCTAGTGCTGCACTAGCATAATGCCCAGGATTAGATGTAGCATCTAAAACATATTTCCATCAATTCACAATGAATTTGGAAAGACTAAAACCCAAGACTCAAAGCCTGAAAGCGTGTTAACTAGAGCAGATACGGTACAGACTAATCCTAATGATAAGAAATGCAAAGATGTGGGAATGATTTGCTTCATAGCATTAACTTCTGCTGAACAACTGTGTCACTTATTACCAGAACAAAAGGAGGGAGAATAATTACAGCAAATTACATGTTGCACCTAGAGTGAAATGTCTGAATAATAGTGTACCACTTTGACATAAATACAGTATTTATGCCTTTAACCCTTTAGGACTAGGATTTAAAAGATTCCCAGCATTTGTCATTGATTCAGTGTTGGGAAGGCAGTAAGACATACTTTCCCAATAGATTTGGATTGTAAAATATTGTTTTGCTGTTTCTCAGCATGGGGGTTTAATATTGCTCACAAAGTGATGTGCCAGTTACAAAAATAAAGCACAAATGTAAGGTGCAATTCAAGCACCGCTCTGGAAGGAATTTAGGAGTTTTCCTTGTTACTTTATTCCTAGAACAGTTCGGATGGATCAATCAGTAGAGTCTGAAGATCGCTGACTCCAGCAAGCTGGAGTGACTGCCATTACGAAGAGCTGTCACATATGAAACTTGAGCTCATATCCAGTGGCTCAGATAAAAGCTTGATCTATTGAGGCACAAATGCATTAATATTTCACAACACAAGGAGCCACCAGTGGGACTGGGGAAATCAAATGCGGCCAGATCTCCAGGTACCTCTGTCAGAAAGCCTTCCATGATTCCAATCTGGTTTACAGCATGATCATCGCTAAACATTTGGCCACCCATTTTAGTTTTCATGGACTATGTAAAAGTTAGATCAACTGCTGCTCTGGATTTTGATATCAGAGATTTAAAACTGCACTGAGCTGAAGTCTGGAACTTCCTGCATGGAGTGCTGGTATCTGAGGGGCTATGAATGACCTTTTCCTTTTCAGGAATCCTTAAGCAAGAGCACAGACACAGTCTACTTGATTTTCTTTAGTTTTCTACAAAGCCTGTCAGAAGCTTTTGTCTTGCTGACAGCCCTACAAAGTTACCGAAATTGGTCCAGTAAAAGTTATTACCTCGCCCACCTGGTCAGCCTTACAAATTGTTAAACACGAGACATTAGTGCTAACCTTTCTCCTGTGACTGGATCAATCATCCGCTGAGCCAGACGTTCCATGACTGATTCAGATGGGAGATTCAGGAAAAATATCCTATTTGTAGACAAACAGTAAGGAACAGCATTAACATCCTCAGAATAGTAACTCACAGTATGAATTAATATTTACACTACAGGAATGCACACACAATGACAAAGGAAGTGATTTTGAACAACCCAGAGGTCAATGTCAAAAAGCATAATGCATTTAAAGAAACTTTTCTTCGGTTCGCCCATTGCATCTTGGTCTTACTTGTATAAACTCCTTGGGCTGCGGACTGTTTGATACGTGTCCTGTACAAGACCAAGCATATTGCCAGTGTATAACAAATAATATAGTGCAGACTCATACTTGATTTCCACAGGCTGAGCATATATCAGTTGGGGGTTTCACATTTCATTTGCCATCCAATAGTCAGTGCTACCTCTGGACTTTCTCAGAATCCACTCACTAAACCCAATTCACAGTTCAAGTCATATTAATATTCTGCAAGAGCCAGATGGAAGATCATTCCAATGGCTAGCCTTTCAGTGGAATCTCAAGGTCAGAGAAATAGCTTGGCTTGTAACAGCGTCTCCAGTTGCAGGATGGAGTTTGCTCCCTTATTCTACAATTTTTCTTCTTCCGTAAAACCCCCCAGCAACATTGTATGACTGTTAGTGCTTGTCCCAGTGGACATCTTAAGTAGAGCCCAGGTTGTCTTTTTCTCCCTTTGTGTTCATCACAGTGTGGCTACTTCCAACCACAGTGCCCCAGCATTCAAGTCCCCCTACATCCCACTCCCTACTCCACTCCCACAGCCATCCTTCTGTAGCAGTATATCCATCACGTACTAATTATCACTGTTTGGTGCCAGCATAGAATTGTCCTTTCTCTTGGACTTGACCCAGAGGGACCACTGCTATGGGGAGTTTGGTTGCCATGGTGCATTCAACACTTGGTTCCTCTGTTGAGACTGCCAACCTGGCAGACAATGAGGGCTTGATTTTCAGAGGGTGAGCACCTGCAGCTCCCATTAACTATAACTGGAGAGGTAGTTGCTCAGCACTTGTAAAAATCGGACCTTAGATCCAGATTCACAAAGGTACTTAGGCACCTAAACCCCAGACTTTGGAACGTAGTCCCTTTTAGGCACCACCGTGATCCACAAAACCTCTGTTTGGTGGTCACCTAAACTCACTTGACATCTAAATTATCTCTGTCAAAGTTCCCTAGGCACCTAAGTTTCTATCTCTGGGCACGTGCAGTGCTGCCTCGCTCTGGACATCCTGGACATCCATCTTCTGCCTAAGTCCTGATGTGATTCATGAATAGGTGGAGGAGCAGCTATCTCACCTCTGGGGCCCAATCTGGTAGGCGTGCTCCTAATACCAACCCCCTGAGCTACACTGTAGGATCAACTGAAAGAAACAAATACAGTTGCCCCGGCCGTACAATAATCTTCCTAAATCAGTTAACCTCAATGTAATTTTTTTATTAATTTTATATTCAAGCTCATAAACTCTTAAGCAGAAAATTCTCACAAATAGGTTTATGAAGAGTAGAGATAAATCACTAGGCTGTGGGACATTCCACAGACTGTGCTGATGTCACATAAAGGGAAATCTTTCATATGGGTCACATTTAATGATTTTTTAAAAGAACAAAAAAAAATTCCTTCCAAACTCGTGGAACTAAAACTTAAAAAAAAAAAAAAAAAAATTAAATTGTGGGCTTTCAAATGTGGATTTATTTGCAATACAACAACTTCTTCTGCCTTCAAGGGCAGACTTCCTAGTTTCATTTTTGTCTGCCTCACAAAAGACACTGTATGCTTTAGACATTCACCAAAGAAACATTTTACACTGACTGGGTGGGATCAGACCAGATGAAAGGCTGAGCTTTACCTTGGCATGCATATAACAGATTACTAGAATCCTTTGTAGGACTTAAAGTTATGAAAATCATTTCTCTCTTCAAATGTTTACAGATAATGACTTCTATTCACGTTGTGGTAACAAAATAACAGGCTGGAATAAAACATTCAAGATCTCCGAGATTCTAAAGACAGGAAAAGAATCACAGTTCCAACATTCTTTTATCCCTTACACTCTAACATTTTGTTTTTCTTTGTTTCTGTTGCCCAACAATGGCACAAAAACATGATTGTCAGAATAGGTAACATCTGATGATATATCTCGAGATGAATATTCTAGTAGAGTGGAACAATGTTTATACAGCCCTGATAATTGATACGGCTCCCTATTATATTCTGAAATAAACAGAACCGTTAAAGGATTATAACCTGGCATATCAAGAAAGCTTGTCGCAATTCATAGTTACTAACTCAAAAAATATTATAGTATTTGAAACAGAAGAGCCTAAAAACTGTACTTAAAAAGCTGCTAACAAAATGAACTCTGAAAGCCTTGTCTGAGACTCATCTTTTTTATACAAGATGCTTCTTATTATCCAGTCTGGTGTCACCATTAAAGAAAAGTGTAGGGGGAAGATGTAGGAGACTAGAGACATCTTTTCTAAGATGTGTTTTTCCCCCCAACAACATCACAGAATCAAATCTGATGGCCTTTTCAGAACAGGGGTTAGGCCTACATGTGGTATGGAGAAGCTTGCACTGCCCTGCCCAAACTGTACATACCGTACATGTTCTGTGGATAAGGAGTATATTAATCTCTAGTCCTCATCACTCATGAGCAATATATTCAATGGAAAAATGTAAGAGAGAAAATATATACAGCTAGTGACTGCAGTTAAAATGCTTCTAACTAGAAAGATTATACCAGTTTGAGAGATATTTCCAATACACACAGGGTCTTCCTGTGCAACCTAATGGGGCTTATTCATGTGATTAAGGGCTGTCCAACCTAGCCCATTAATGGGGTATATGGGAGAGACTTTTTAAATAAACCCACTGTATAATGCACATCTTGGGCACATAACACTGGTCTACAATTTTTGAGAAGTCGTCTGCTTCAGAGATAAAATGTGCTATTTAGTATGTATTTTGATGTGCTGAATTCAAATATGACAAAACAACTGATTGGCTGCTGTTTCTAAGATATTTAAGTTTTTACATTTTATGTCTATGTATATTGTGTAGATAGTAGAGTTTTAATCATAAATTGTAAACCTAGGTCTTTTCATGTGTTTATGGTTGCTTTACATGATAATATTTCACCTGTCCTGTTTATGTAACAATTTAAAAATCAGCAAAAGTGTTATATAAATAAAATTTATTATGAAACAAAAGGCAAAAAACTATTATGTACACAGTTTAGTCCTATTCAGTGTCTACTCGGCGCTTCTTGGCTTGTCTCTTGTATTCATTAAATGGAGCATCTCTTGTCACTGTCCAGCAATAGTCTGCGAGCATTGATGGGCTCCATTTGCCCTGATAGCATTTCTCCATTGTTGCAATGTCCTGGTGAAATTGCTCGCCGTGCTCGTCGCTCACTGCTCCGCAGTTCGGTGGAAAAAAATCT